AACCATAAATTCATAACCAATAAAACATCAAATGTAATATTTGGTACCCATTAAAAACTGACATTTAATAAATTTAAAAATATTAAAGGCATATAAAAAATATTTTATGGGTATGGAATAATCTTTTAATGGTTTCTAGAATATTCGGAGCGATCAAAATAGTTTTTCCGTGCTCGGTGAATATTTTTATGGATTTTTTCGATGCATGAATAGTGAATTTTATGTGAAATAATTAATTCAAGCATGTTAAGTATGCATGAAAAATATTTTTTTAGATAGAATATTTGCTAGAGTGGTTTTAGATTATTCAATACCATTGGACAAATTTTTTGATATTTTGTGATTATTTTATTTGAACTTTATTATGCATGAATAATGTTTTTAAGGTAAATTAATTAATTTAAGTGCTTTAAAGTTATAAGAAAACTATCCATTCAGTATAGAAAAATTATCTAGGATGTGTAGGAATATTTTATGAACTTCGATGAATTTTTCTATATATAGGGAATATTTTCTATAGGAAAAAGTTTATTTTTATACAAAATAATTAATTTGAAGGCCTAAATGAGTGTATAAAATTATGTGAATCATGATTAAATTCTTTTAGAAAGTTTTTGAATTTATTATGAAAAAAAATTAAATTTTTTATAGGTATGGGATAAAATTTTAGACTTAGGGACCTAATTGCATAAAATTAAAAGTTTAAACTTTCAAATTAAATTAGATATGAATTTTAAGAGTAAAAATTTTGTTAGAAAAACTTTAAAGGAAGGGTCTAAAGTGATCAATTGAATAAAAAAAGAACTTACGGAAGACTAATTAATGGAAAACTCTATAAATTTTAGGACTAAAAGTAAGCAATCTTTTGCCCCCTCTTATGCCAACTTAATGCATTAATTAAATTGAATTTTAGTTAAATGGGTGAATATAATTAACTAGATGGAAGATTAAAATTAAAAGAAGAATAGAAGGTTAGGAATTAATCCAAATGAAGGAAGGAGATTTAAAGAAAAATTAATGGCCAAGATCACACCAGATTAAGGAAGGAGGTTCAGTCAAAAGTTCACCAATTTAGCCTATAAATGTGGGAGCAAGAAAATAAGAAAATGGGAGAAAAATAAAAAAATCCAATGTAAACTCTTGTCAAATTTCCATCCAAATTCCACCTAAATCACTTTCAATAATTTTTAGCCATCCTAAATCACTAGTTAAGACCAAATTTCAAGTTGGAGGCTAAAAAATTTCAAGAAAAAACGTAAAGGAGCTTGGCTGAAATATTGAGTGAAAAAAGGAAGAAGAATTTTCAACATAATTCAATCTTTCAAGGGTAATTTGGAGCTTCCTTAAGTAAGTTAATCTCACTTAAACCATAAGGAATTTCAATTTTATGTCAATTTTGTGTTTGATGGTTCAATTTAGATTTAACTAAAGTAATTATGAAAATTAAGGTTAGGTTTCTTAGTTAGTTTAATTTGGGGAAAATAATTCTGAGCCATAAATTAATGCAATTAAAGTCTAATTATGTTAATTAGGCTTAAAATTGAGGAAGAAAAATAAAAATTTCCTAAGGTTAGAGAGAGAAAGCATTCGACCAAATATGAGAATTTGGAGGATTTTTTATACTTTGATTTTTTTGGTGTTTTATTGATTGATTATGGGCTTTTTTTTTTTTTTTTTAAGTTTGAATTGATGATTATAAGTGAGAAATTGCATAAAAAAGTTGAAAACTAGGCCTAATTTCCTTAGGCCTATATTCGACCTAATTAGGAAAGAAATTAGGATTCTTATGTTTTTGATTCCTAAGTGTTTAATTGATTAATTCTAGTTTAGAATAGCCTAACAAGATGAGTTAGTATGGAAGATTTGGTTAAAAATGAAAAGCTACCCTAGTTTACCTTAGTTGGGCTTTCGGTCCATTAGACCTAAATTAGGGTTTTCGTTGCAATTTGATGTGTAATTTTGTAATTGATGGTCCCATGATGATTTCGAGTGTGATACGTGTGCTTGAAATGTGAATTTAGATGCCTATGTATGAATATGCAAGTTTGTGAAAAGTTTGCATAAAGTTTGAAAATGCACCATTATTCGATCATATGTTGAAATATGGGTTGCTATGGCATCCTCGCGATGATGATATTTGTGATTGGAATGTGAATTATAAATTTTTGGTCATGATCTATTAGGTGAGGTCGCTACATGTTTATGACATTATAAAACGTATCGTTAAAGTTAAATTTTACGTTTCATACGACATTTCATTTGGCATGTAAAGCATGATTCATTATTATAATGCACTCACATTACATATATCAGCATGCCAATTCATGAAAAGGATTTGATGGAAAGGTTTTAAGTCATGAAAAAGGGTATTTTTTCTTAAGGGATTTTCCAATAGCAATTGAAAATATTTCATGATTTTGAGGCTTTTCATGGCTTTCTTGGTTTTTATGAGGAGAGCTTCATGGTTTTCCATACCTATAATAGTTCATGGTTTAAAAGATAGGATCGAGCGGAGTGTAGACGTGCATTTTCAAAGGCTTGACAAAGTGCGCACTCGTAAATGGGTTTGGTTTTCCGGACAAATGATGGAAACCCCGAAGTTCCTAAACCGGAACATGTCCAAAGATAGAAAAGGTTTTTCGGATCGATCATGATAAGAATTTTATGACATAAAAAAGGATTTTATGACGAGCATGTGAATGATCATTTGAGCTGGTCATCGAGGGGTGTACATGCCGCATATACATTCGATGGAGTTTCGAGTTCCAAGTGAATCTCCTTATACAATTTTCTTCTTAGTATTAGGTGTTATAGTATATGTACTAGGATCGACGAGTTTATTTTATGCTATACTTAAAGCTATGAACAATGAATAAGAAACTAGTGATATGATGTAAATAAATGAATAAGCCATTTTTAGTAAGGGGCATTAGGTTAGTAAAAGTTTGTATAAAAGCCGATGCGGATGCTAAGTTATTGAAATTTTGGTCTAAGTCGGTAACATTATGGTAATGTAAATTGGATGTACTAGTTTCTTGTTTCTTAGTTTCATAGTTTGTTCTAGCACACCATTTAAATTAATGAAACAAAATAACTAAGTAATATGGTCGACGAAAAATGGAAATAAAGAAAAATGATTATCGAGTATTAGGTAGCTAATAAATAAATTTATATACAACAATAGAAAAAGAATTTAATAAAACCGAGTGTCTTAAATCCAATCCATATAGTGCAAATAATTAAAATACAATGATAAAATGCAAAAAAAATTGATAGTGCATTTTGGATCGAAAGATAGGACCTAATGGTCAAATCGTAAACTTTCGTGACATATTTTATACCTAGGAAAAACATGAATAAGTTACGAGTGCCTTGTTAGCATACATTCATTGCACTTCGAATGTGGGTTAACGGGGATAATATTCTTGACAATTTAGATCCTATGTCGAGAGTGTTATATCAAATCACTAGCAATTAAACATCAAAATAAAGCTTTCTTGTGGTGTAACGAGGACTATATTTACCTCACTCATTGCTTGCCCAATTTCTCTCTTTTTGGCTTGAACTTTTTCCTCCTCTTTTTATTTGATCATTCTAAGCTTTCCTACACTAATTTAGGGGTACGTGGGTGGCTAATTTGTGGTTTTGAGTGGTGGTTTGGTGTAAATCTCCTTGGTTTAGCTTGAATTTTTCTTGATTATTTCTTGAGTTTTCAAGTTTTTCAACTTTTTATTCCTATCCTTCTTACCGAATTTATAGGAAAGACTTCACTTAGGATTAAGCCAAGTGTTGTACACTTGGTTTCATCCTAAATCCTTGCAATTAATGGCTTTCTCTAGAGGTTTTTTTTTCTTCCTTCTCTTTTCTTTTTTTTCCCCGATTTTTCTCTAGATATTTTTCCCTTTGCCTTCTTCCATTTTGCCGACCTACTTTTCCCATTTCTTGTCCTCATTTTCCAGCTTTTTTTTTTTTTTGGGAATTAATCTCCTAAATCGAGTTATTTAGTCCTCTAAATCACCAAAATTATATACTTTAGTCCCTAAACTTTAATTGCTGCATTCTCCCCCTTCAATTTCAGTCCTCAATCTTTCAATTTTTCACAATCAAGCCCTTATTTTATTCTTTTTTATATTTCATAATGGCCACTTAAGTTTCCTAATTATTTTAATTAAGTGTTTAAACTTTTAATTGCTACGATTACATCCCTAAGTTATTACATAACCATAACAATTAATATTATAAACCTCTAATTAATTTCTTTACCTTCCCATTAATGCATTCACCCTTCATAATAATTATGCATGTATTAGTTTATTTATTAATTAAATAAAGTAATCATACAAACGTATATACATTCAAGAAGATTCTTAGATAGAAGATATTATAGAATATGTACAAATTTTAAATTTTAAAAACTTTTATTTGAAAATATGTGTTAGATATTAATATAAATAATATCTCAAATCTTATGATTTATTTAATAATTTAAAATTTTGGATTAAGATTAGTTTTCAGCATTATTATATCATCCAAATACTGAATTATTGGTCGAAGAAATTGATCGAATTCTAACCACCTATCACGCTAAGCTCTTGATTGTATATCCAATTCGAAGAGAATATCGTCAAAAAGGCTCAACCAACTTTGGCTCGTCAACAACTTCATCATGGTTTACACCCATAAACTCTTGAAAAAAAAAAAAAAGAGAGAGAGAGTGGGGTTAGAAGCACTATAAAATTAAAAGAAAAGAAAAAAGACAAAAGTTCACTAAAAAACTGATGAACAATACTTCAAAATAATTTAAAATAGCAATATCCAAATATGAATAATAATGTCAACATATAACATGCAAAGCCAAAAATATATACAGTAAAGAGAGAAAATTCTTATGTTTGTATTTGAGTATTTGACCACTGAAGGCTTTTCGTCAACTTATTTTTCAAGAAGTCACTCAACATCGGGAAGTGCTAAAAAAAGAAACAAACACTAAAAAAGAATACTTGTGTGTGGAACACGAAGTGAGTTTAGAGGGTTGACGTAACCGGGAGAGTATGGTTTTGAATACTTGTGTTTGAATTGTTTTGGACAAACGGCTAGTCCTACTTTTTCGCGCACAACGTTCCATACCCTGTCCCACCCACTTTCAAAAAGTCTGTCTTTCACTCTGCTCATAAAATGTTGGAGAAAGAGAAATCAGTACAGCAGTAATTAATTATAAATCTTAAAGCCTCTTTTTCCCTCCTCCGGTCCCTCTCTCTCTCTCTCTCTCGCTTCAAATTATTACTCTCTCCACTAGTTTTATCCTTTTTGTATTTCACAGCACATCATCACAGCACACAAAGTAGGTAAGTATACCAACATCTATTTTTTCACTGTTTCCCTTTTCTTTTGTTTTGTTTTGTTTTCTTTTCTTTTTTCATATGTGTTTCAAATTATCTTTTATTTCCCCACTTTTCTCTCCCTCAAACCCAGAAACCCATTTTTTTGAAGGAGAAATGAAAATGGCTTTGAGGGTTTGGATCTTTTCAATAATTTCTGCTCTTTTCACTATTTGCTCTCTTGCTCTTTCTGAAGATGGTAAGAACATCACCATTTTGAGCACTTCTTTTGTTTTTAATAATATGTTCTCCCTATTTTGAGTACTATTTAGATCTTTCTGCTATACATGCTGATTTAGTCTTGATTTTTTTCAAGGACTGACATTGTTAGAGATCAAGAGCACATTGAATGATAGTAGAAACATGCTTAGCAATTGGCAAGCTACTGATGAATCTCCCTGCAAATGGACTGGCATTTCTTGTCAGCCCCATGACCAAAGGGTCAGCTCAATGTATGTCGCTTTCCTGCTTCATTCACATATATCCAATTTTACATCTACTTCGTTTACTTTTTACAAAGTTATCTCTTTTATTTTTATTTTTTTCTTCAGAAACTTGCCCTACATGGAATTAGGCGGGATTATATCTCCCAGCATTGGTAAACTCAGTAGCTTACAAAGACTGTGAGTTAAATCCATCTTTTCTTTTCTTTTCTTTCTTTTTTTTCTTTTTGATCTCAAAACAACCCAGGAAACGGGTTAAAGCATTTCATACTAAATTTCCAAATTTCTTTTGGTGATACAGGGCACTTCACCAGAACAGTTTGCATGGAATTATACCTTATGAGATTACTAATTGTTCTGAGCTGAGAGCCATGTAAGTGAAACAATGGGGTTTCCACTTTCCTCTTTTAATGCCTTTCCTTTTCTTTTTATTTTCTTAGATCCGTCATAAGTCATAGTAAGAGAATGTCCATTAACTTTATCCTCATTTGGCCAAAATTGATCATGTCTATAGTTACTTGAGGGCTAATTATCTCCACGGAGGGATGCCTGCAGATATTGGAAACCTTTCCCATCTCACTATCCTGTAAGATCGGTAGTCCCTTCTCCTTTTGATTTGGGGATATTTAGTTATTAGACTTTCCAGTGTAGCTATTACATATGATCAAGCTTCCCTTTGATTTTGATTTTTGGTTGTTGAATTTAGGGATTTGTCAAGCAATTTGCTAAAGGGTGAGATACCTTCATCTATTGGCCGCCTAACACGCTTGCGCCACCTGTAAGTTCTAATAGAGTTTTAGGTATTGAATTCCAGAATTTCAAAGTCCGAATTTGATGACCTTAAATTGAAAATAGATAGGGTATGAAATTATCTGTTCTGGTTCAATCTTTTCAGGAACTTGTCTACCAACTTTTTCTCAGGTGAAATCCCTGATTTTGGACCTCTAAGTACTTTTGGGAACAACTCGTGAGTGCTCTTATCTCTATTTGTAATGTTTTTAGCTTTTATTGAGGTTGTGGCAGGAAGATGTTTCAAAGAAAAAAAGAGTTTGGTAGCATCACTCAATTGTGATGATAGATAAAGTTTGTTCTGTCTAACTGATGTCTAGTGTCTTCTTATGTTTTTATCTCAAGTATAAGTTTTAGTGCAATGTAGAAGAGTATGGAACCACTTCATTTCCAAAATTGAAAGGGGTGGCATTCTTAGATTTCCGTTTATGTGAAAAAAAGTGTGCAAGTTCCTATCAATTTCTGTGTGGCATTTGTATGTGTTTACTTGTTATTTAACATTTGTCCTTGCATTTAACCTCGATGGTGGTGACCACCTCAGAATCTACAATATTACATTATTGGGAGAGGTATATAAGATGGTATTCACATTCTTCAGAATTGGAACAATAAACTATTTGCAAAGCATGTAATATCAGCATCTCTATTATTTATATAACACGAGGATGCAGTCATGAAGCTGCTTAACACTTCTTGGACATCTTCGTTTCTGTTTCTTAATCTGCCCCTCTGAGCTTGCTTTGACCACTGTTCACTGTTGGTTAGGTTTATTGGCAATCCGGATCTTTGTGGTAGACAAGTGCACAAGCCATGTCGAACCTCTTTGGGATTCCCTGCAGTGTTACCCCATGCAGCAAGTGATGAAGCAGCAGGCAAGTTTCATGTGACATTTTCTGAAACTCTTAACTGTGCATGTAATTATGATATTGGGGATTATTTCCTTTTTGATCTGACTATTGGTGATTTTTCAGTTCCTACAAAACGATCCTCTCACTACATCAAAGGGGTGCTGATTGGTGTAATGTCAACTATGGCCATTACACTTGTTGTGCTCCTTGCGTTCCTCTGGATTTGCTTGCTATCAAAGAAGGAAAGAGCTGCTAAGAAATACACAGAAGTTAAAAAGCAAGTTCATCAAGAAGCAAGTAAACTCCATATGCCTCAAATTTTAGCATTTTCAGTTCTGTCCATCTCAAGTTACAAACCTCTAATTTTTTTTTTTTTTTTCAGGTACAAAGCTCATTACTTTTCATGGTGACCTGCCATATCCTTCCTGTGAGATCATTGAAAAGCTTGAGTCTCTTGATGAGGAGGATGTTGTAGGTTCAGGAGGCTTTGGTACTGTATACCGCATGGTAATGAATGATTGTGGCACCTTTGCTGTTAAAAGAATTGACCGGAGTCGGGAAGGATCTGATCAAGTTTTTGAGAGGGAACTGGAGATTTTGGGGAGTATCAAACACATAAATTTGGTAAACCTGAGAGGTTACTGCAGGCTTCCAATGTCAAAGCTTCTCATCTATGATTATCTGGCCATGGGCAGTGTAGATGACTTTTTGCATGGTATGCTTTCCCAATGTGGTATATGTACTCATACACCAGCCACCAACGCACACATCTATATAATGTTTATAGCAATTAGGGAGAAAAATATAGTCAGGAACAATTACTTCATAGTAGTTTTTTGTGTTGGTTTCCTAATATATGTTAAGAATTGGAAAATTAGTTAGCCATTGCAACCTTAAATTTTATAGTTGTAAAACATGGCACTTGATCTTCCTTGCCTTATTATAATATTGTGGGCACATGTTAAATCGTAGAGTTAGCACCAGTAGCATGATTCACAATGCTTTAGGTCTTTGAAATAACATTATTTGTCTAATAAGAGAGACAATGAAGTTCTTGAGATATATGAACAGAAATTTGGAGAACTTTTTAGAGTTGCCAAGCAGCTTCTTATTAGTGATGGTTGTGCTTTAGTGATTTCTTGTTTAATTCAAATCCCCAAAATAAACAGAATACTGCCACCACCAGATCTAGGTTTGAGTTCTGTTCAAGGCATATATAATCCAAATGTGGCATATTGCATAATTTCTATTGAAGACTTATTTTGTGAATCTAGCCTATTAGGCTATATTTACTTTTAGACATGTGCGTTATTTTTTGTTGGAATGTGCGCTCCAAGACATGGTGATGGATATGTATGTCCTTATCCACAAAGTGTAGCAATTTCTGATACGCTTTATTTTCCTTTTTCTTCTTTGTTCTTATTACTATCTTTTCAGAACATGGCCATGAAGAACGACTGTTAAATTGGAGTGCTCGTTTGAGAATAGCCCTAGGTTCTGCTCGGGGGCTTGCATACTTGCACCATGACTGCTGTCCAAAGATAGTTCATCGTGATATAAAATCCAGCAATATTCTACTCGATGAAAATTTGGAGCCCTATGTATCTGATTTCGGTCTTGCAAAACTTTTGGTGGATGAGGATGCCCATGTCACGACTGTAGTTGCTGGCACTTTTGGTTATTTGGCTCCAGGTGTGTGTTCTTTATTTTATTTTATTTTATTTATTATTATTATTATTTTATTTTTTTTGAGAAAAACATTTCTTTACATTGTGCTGCTGGAGACTACTGTCCTGTTGATCTGAGCCATGTCAGTCCTTTGGTTAATTGTTCATGATACATTTTCTTGGAGTTCACCCATGTGACGTGAGGTCTTCCTGCAATATGTGAAAAATTGTCTTACCTATCTTAATGCTCCCTGTTCTACATGACTGTTATTTTTGCGTTCCTACATAAACAAACTTGAAAATGTCATTTTTAGGAGATTAGGAGATCAACTTAACTGAAAATTTCTGTTACTAAAAGAGGGAGTCATTATGATTTAGAATGAAGCAATATGCAAGCATGTCATTATGTAGGTTTATTTTGTTGCTCAAGTTTTCTAGTAACTTTATAAATTATGTTTTTTATTTAGTAGTTAAAATTATCTGCAGTTCTTTTTCATTTGTTTTAACTTTCTATATATATAAATTGTGGATATAGAGATTTGATACACTAGTTTGAGAATTATCATTGACAATGGTGGCAGTAGGGGTTATAATTGCTTGCGATGGAATTGTGATTGAATTATATCCAACTTCCGGAATTTAGGAAGTCAAGGGCTTCAAAACTGTGATCATCAACAACATGTTCTGGTAACTTGGTTTGGTCCATAATTCACGGTGACATTATTACCTGTTTTCCAAGGGACCATGACAACTCTTATTTTCTTTGCATTGCATTGACCTCATTAGTTAATGGTAGCTTTATCCCGTAACAATAGAATTCCTAGTTTTCATTTGTGTAAACCACATGTCAATGCTGCATGGAGGCAAAGGCAAATAACCAAAAGAGTGACCTGACCATATTTCTTGGCTCTTGTTTGATTTTTAGTATTTATTTGTTGCAAGTCAAGTATTGCAATCTCAGGAGTTCAGTTGCACTGAAAATACATACATACATATATATATATATATCCTTTATTGTGTTGGGGAACGTGTAAATCATGAAGATTGGGGTGCTGAGACAGAGAAAATAATCTAGAGAGAAATATGAGCATTTTCTGTGATTCAAAAGCTTTTTGAGCTGCCAACATTTACATTGAATTCTTAACCTAGTGGTCATGGAGTGGCTCAAGCTTTTCTTGTGGCTGAAGAAACTGTTGCTATTGTGTATGGACACATTCAATAAAGTGCTGCAGACTACTCATACTGTCAAGTTGAAAATCCTTAAATTCAGTGTATTGTCCATCTACAAGTTTTGTTTATTCAAGGAGTTTCCTGTCACATTAATGACAGAATGATAAAATATTTGTTTGATTGACTTTTGGAAGATACAAAATTAGATTAACAGTCAGGGAAGAGAAAGAAAATGACATTAATGGAAGGTGCCAGTTGTGGTTCTCTTCGACAAAAACCCTCTCCTATTGATAGTCCTAAGTGGGTAATGATTTTCTCTGGTGGTTCCTGGCTGAATTTTTGTGGATGGTCTTTGTAACAAGAAGGGAACAAGGCTGATTGGGTTCTCTTCGACAAAAACCCTCTCCTATTGATAGTCCTAAGTGGGTAATGATTTTCTCTGGTGGTTCCTGGCTGAATTTTTGTGGATGGTCTTTGTAACAAGAAGGGAACAAGGCTGATTGGTAAAGTGTAAATTAGCTACCCCAAATTCTTGTGGTCAAAATGCTCAATATCTGCTCTTTGCTGGCTACTCATAGATACTTATGGTGAGAAGCAGTCAAGATTGGCTTGGCTCTGTTTTCTGTATAGTGTCCGTCATGGTTAGATGCCTCAAGCAGATAAATGACAATAAGTATAAGGTTTATCCTGAATGCTTTATTTTAACTGATTTCATCTGCTATATGTTACAACCCATAGGGGAACGTTCAAGCATAAGAAAGAGAGGCTGGTAAATGGTCTTAAAAATTCAGAAAAAATTCACATAGGAAATAAATGCTCGTATCATTTTTTTCTAGTGTTCTGTGTACACTACTGTCCCCATCGTCAATGGTAATTTATAAGTCTAGTGCATTTAGTCTATATGTGCATGTATCACTTTCACACACATACTTGCATTGCATGCACACACACAACCATATAAAACAATCTAAGAAGAAAAGAAAAATAGTTTCCTTATGACACAACCATAGGAAACAGTCTAAGAAGAAAAGAAAAATAGTTTCCTTATGAATTCTTTAATGGGTTAACGATCCGTATTGTATCTGTACTACAACCATTTACTTAACTAGATTCTTGTATCTTATTAAGTGTTAATTGGGTTGTTGTACCAAATTGATTTGCTCAATGTAAGTCCTTCATTAGTGATTCAGCTAATGATGTTTAGTTAATAGCATAATTAGATGACATCTTCACTAATGGTGGGATGGACGGAAACCTTAACCAACTGTTAATCTGGACTTAAGTTTTGAGGGTGATTTACAATTTAGCCTTCTTTTCTTTTTTTCATATTTTATCTCTTAAATCATTTATAGAAATTTTTTAAAAATAAATTCATTCTGTTAGCTTTAGGGTTTTTTTTTTTTTCAATTTTTTTTTAATTTATATTTTCTATAAATGCCTTAGGTAACATAAAATGGAGGAAAAACTGTCTAAAGGCGTGTCGCCTAACTATGTGATTAACTTAATGTCGTTAGCAAAATCACTAATGGAAGGTTTGCATTAAACAAAGTGATTCAGTACAAGGATCTAATTAACACTTAAGTTGGTACAGTAATCTGATTAAGCAATTAATTGCAGTTTGAGAACAATACAAATTGTTAACCCATTCTTTAACTGCTAAATATGAAATAATGATGTTGATACAAACAGTTATATCTTGATTACAAAGTAAAACTCAACAATAGACTGCTATTTTCCCCTATCTGGATTAATATGTTGCATTGAGGGGTGTTAGTTCTGAACAATAGACTGCAACCGAAAGAGTCCTGGCATTAAGTATTTTTTAGTTCATTAAATCCCATAATCTATCTGATTCCTTCTCAAAGTTATAATTTGTTTCTGAGGATACTCTTCCTTTTCCATTATTCCCCTTATCAAGAGACCTTCACGCAGGCATTACTTAGGATCAGTAAGATAAGATGTCCACACACGTAAATCTATATATCCTCAACAACAATCCATAACTCTGTTACTGTCAAGGTGGAAAAATTTTGCCATCCACATGACGACCAGAGTGTGCCATGTGCCATAATCCTAAATTGTAGAACTTATGAGTTAGTGATTGATTCTGAATATTTACTGCTCTGAACAGAGTATCTGCAAAGTGGGATAGCGACTGAGAAATCAGATGTCTATAGCTTTGGAGTTCTCCTGCTGGAGCTTGTAACTGGGAAAAGACCAGCTGATCCAGCTTTTGTAAAGAGAGGATTAAATGTTGTCGGCTGGGTAAGCTTTACTAAACTCTTCCTTGTTGTGTTCTAGTCTCAGTTTAGAAAATGACCTGAAAGAAGAGCACCAACGTTTGAGTCTAACTCATACTGATAATTTAAACACAAAACAGATGAACACCTTGTTGAGAGAGAACAGGTTGGAAGATGTAGTGGATAAAAGCTGCAAAGATGCAGATATGGAAAGTCTGGAAGTAATTCTTGAGATTGCAGCAAGGTGCACGGATGCGAACCCAGATGATCGGCCGACAATGAACCAAGTATTGCAGTTACTAGAGCAAGAAGTCATGTCTCCTTGCCCAAGTGATTTTTACGAGTCCCATTCAGATTATTGTTAAATAGATATTAAGAATTTAGGGCTATATCCAGCTAAACATCCTTTGACTATTTCATTATTGTTTGCCTCTACCTTTGGGGCATGTAAATGAATTTTAACTAAAATGTTGGATGTGGATGTTGTGTTGCAAATTTTAAATTTTCTTGTCTCTATTTTCTCTTTTTTTTTTTTCGTAATTATCATAACAGAAACTTTTTTTCCCCTTCTAAACGGATATGGTATTTGCGTAGAAAATCCAATCTAAAATTCAAAAATTTACTAAAAAGTTCCAAGTAATGGGTTTTTCTAAGTTAGAAATGGCTTTATATCTATTTATTTTTTATTGATATTCAAGTCTCATTTCAAGTTGTGATGTTACAAAATTAGTTTCTGGTTTGTTGATCGAGTAACCTTCAACCCAATATAGGATAAAAAAAGATTGTAATTATGGACTATTTGGATTCAAGAATGCCACATTTAATTACTATATATTTTATGGTAAATTACATGACTGTTCTTAAATATGGATTTGATAGAGAAAAAAAATTGAAGGGAATTAATGATGAAGCGACAAATTGAAAATCTAATGAAATTTTTTGTTCATATTTGTGCCCTAGCAACAATCTTTATTAAAACTACATCCCAAATGTTAAAAGTAATCAAATTTTACTATGCTAACACCTCATTGTTTAAAGTGGGGGCTAAAAGAAAAGGTACAACTTTGGAAATGTCCTTCATTTAATATGAACAAAATCCTCTTCATTAATATCATAACTACTTAGTACAGAAAGACTGAAGAGATTGATCGAAACCTGCTATTTTTTACAGAGAGATTCATTTCAAAATCCTTTCATAAGCATAGATCCTTCCATTAACTTCATCATACAACCGTTTACTGCCCGGTACAATCACGAGGTCCGAGCCTACAAGACCACAACTCTTTACGTAGACATTCCCTTTCTTTCCATACCACCAATTCCCCTCAACATATAACTGTAATCAAGCGTCAATTCTTTGCAAGGAGGTATGTCCTTCATGGCAAATAGCATTATGTGAGGCATTCTGCTGTCATCGTGATCATACAGGACATTCTGGACATAGAGATTAGGAGAACAACTATGATTAATAAATCTCCCAACATTACCATATTTGCTTGCATCAATCACGAAACCCCCATCTTTATCATAACAACTTAAACCCTCAGAATCATTGCTATTTCCCAATGCAGCATACAAGTGTTCATCACTGCAGGAACCACCATGTTTAGCTTCCTCCTTTTGAATGATTTCTCCTGTGTACTCGCATACAAAACTTCCAGATCGAATATAGGATCTTGACCTTACACCCCATCCTTTTGATTCAATCTTGAATACCTCAAGTTGAACTTGAAGACCACGTTGGCTCATTTGATTAATGCAAGATGAAGAACACTTGCAAAAAGGGTTGCACTCATATATAAGAGGCTTTTTTCGAGCAATACCTCCCGCATTGTTGTATGGAATTTCTCCCCCATTCTTGATTTTGCATGAACAATCTTCATCATCTGAGCATCCATCAACACAATCACAACCAATTGGAATGGATTCATTAAGTGACTTTGGGTAAATCATGTTAGCTAAATAATCAAATGGTGGAGGTCTCTCACCATCAAAACTGTTCACAACACGAATCAACGTTTTCTCTCTACCTTGAGAGATATCATTCATTAAAATGTCCTCTTTCTGAACTGTACGAGTTTTCTGTTTACTTGCTATTCCACGAGTTAACTTAGGTTGCCCTTGCACTCTTTTCAACCGAAATTTGAAAACAAGTTTGCCTAATTCTCCTCTCTCTTGCCAAAATTTTTCCACCATATACAAGCCATCATAAACATATTCTGAAGTAGATGCCTTGGAACCCTTGATATGCAGCTTCCGAATGACCCGTACAACAGTTTTTGAATCCATACTATTCCTCAATGCAAGGTTTCCACGTTCAAGTTTCTGATCTCTTAGTGGCTGCTTCTTTTGAACTGAGGGATTTCCACCATGCCCTGAATAAATCAAGATGTCCGATGATTCCATGTAATTGGCATAACGTTCAGTAGCAACAATGCATGTCGCCAGATTGCTCCTGTCCTTCTTCATGTAATCTATGCCATGGTAAAAGTGGCTATGAAGGCCAACTACAATTAGTTCAGCACGGCATTGAAACCTGTCACCAACCTGAACCCCTGGAATCTCTCCTAACTGTTTTCTTGTATTAAGCCATTTGTGGTCACTTTTAAGAAGCATTAGTGCTTCCATATAGATTTTAGCCTTCGGTACTTTTGGCTTCACTTTGTTTTTCCGGAGGAGCTTGGCAAGAATGTCCCGGTACTTTTCCAAAACCTCCTTCACTTTAACACGACTACCACTTGATTCTTGACACCAATCAAGCTCCTCCTTACCAAGATTGACAGAAGACCTGATCAGCAAAACATTAGCTCCCATTGTAGCTCCCACTGGTTGAGAATCCACAGCAGACTTTTCATTGTAAGGGACATTGTCCTTGGAATCAGAATCAGAAATTTGATTTGCATAATTATTAGTCAGAACATATTCCTCAAAAGCAGAACCAGAATCCTGTTTTCCTGAAGGAAATTTATGCTTATCCGATGGAACTTTCAAATTCCTTGGAGGACAACATTTTCTTAGAGGTGTTTCTGCAACAGGGTTCTCTAAAGGCACATCAAATTCAGTAGCATTGGAAAAAACATCTTTGGAAACAGAATAGTAATATGGTCTCCCACAACCAGTAGGGAAGTCCCGTTTGGCGGAAAATCTTTCAGAAACCCGCGAGAAAGGGGATTTGTTTGGTGCAGTTTCCATGGAAGAATGTTGTGAAGGATTGACAGCAACGTCGTCTTCATTCTCACGTGAGTTCGCCACAACTGGAAACCCTCTACAGCCTCTAGGAAAATCTCGCAGAGCGGGGGGTCTTGCTCGCTTCAACTTTGAAGAAAATCCAGAATTAATCCCATCCATTGCAGGTAAATTTGACAAAACCATGAAGAGTTCTGGCTGTAAATTGTAATTGCAAGATACATCAGTAGAATACAAATTAACCAACGTAAAGAGAAAGATGGCACAAAAAAGAAGAGAAAAAAACCCACAAAAAATGACATTATTTGACAAATGTGAAAGAAAAAGAAAACCCCATACTCATAGCATAATAGACTCTAATAAAGCACTCTACAACTAAAAACCAAGATATCACAAACTCTTAATAAACAGAAACAAGCAAGAAACTGATAATCATTAAAAAAGTTAAGATAAATATCTTCATTAATCAAATAGGTACATAAAATTAAGAGAAGGAACACATTACACACACAGCTATAAAGCAAGTAAATTAAGTAGATGAAATAGCAAGAAAAAATATGCGCCATTAAAGCTAGGAAAAGGAAAGAATGTGAAGTAACCTTTAGCCCTTTAAAGCTGCTGACTTGTTATTGAGGAAATCTGAAGCGTTATGGGGTTTTATGGGTAGGGACTGGTAGAGCAACAACGAAGAATAAAGGGTTCGGAATCAGCAGTACTAGAGCTAAGGGAGGAAAAGCAAAAAACAAGAGAGGTGGTTGCTCAAGGAAAATGTGTGGAAACAGACAAACCCTTCATTAATAGCTACTGTTTTTCTTCAGACTACGAAATTATTTTTTTTGCCATTTGATGCATTCGATTGAACTGTTAGGTGGTACGGCAAGGGCGCACACTTCTTCCTGGAAATACTTTTTCCGAGTGCAAGACACAAATAGAGAAAGAGAGCCAGTTTGGCAAAATGTAAGCATTTGGATTTTTTTATTTATAAAAAAGTGTCTTCTAACATTTTAAAAATTTTGTACACAGAGAGAGAACTATTTGAAAAACTTTAAAAGTGAAATAATCAGGAGCTATAAAATTAAATTTATTATAAAATAATGGTTATTCATTACCATTTCATATTCTCAACTGTTCTTATGATTCAATTCATCATTCAATATAAAAAATTAAAAAGATAATACAATTTATTCAATTATTTATATATATCTTAATGTATCATAGTATCTTCTAATTCTCTTCTAAATTTTGAAGCACTGTAAATAGACTTAATTATTCATTAATCGGTGGACAAACATTTTGTAGAGATTGAGAGAATTGTTTAGAGTTTTTATCTCTTATATTCTCTTTATTCCAAAGTGAAATCATTTCTTCATCATTTTTTTCTCTTTAATTCTATTATTGTTATCATTTCTCTTATAACACGTTATCAACATGAAACTTTAACCAATCAAAATAATAGACAATGAGGTATATATTTACCAAAAGACTTAATCATTTGTTTCAATTTTTTTCTACACAAGTGCTCTACCAAAAGATCTAAATTATGTAGATCATTAAAATGTATGTATCTAATTTATTATGTACTTTAAATCTAATGCTACATAGAATATACATTTAAAAAACTTAAATTAAATGATTTAATATATATAATTTAATGATCTAATATATATATTGTTTAATATATAGAAACTCTAACCAATCGAGATAATATACCATGAGGTATATATCTACCAAAATACTTAATTATTTGTTTCAATTTTTTTCTACACGAGTGCTCAATCAAAAGATCTAAATTATGTAGATCATTAAGAGTATATCTAATTTATCATGTACTTTAAATATAATGATACATAGAATATAAATTTGAAAAACTTAAATTAAATGATTTAATATAGAGAATCTAATGATCTAATATATATTATTTGAAAAGTTTAAATTTTATTATTATTTTTGTTATTATTTAAATTTTATCATTAAATTTTATTTTTATTTTCTAATTTTATTATTATACTTTGCATTATAAAATTTTTATAATATCAACCCTCACAAAATTTGATTTTGTGGCTCTTGACATTTTGGGCAAAAATTATTGATCATGAGTGTTTGATACCGAGTAAATATTCTCCACTTTCATGTCTCGAATATGCTCCTGCAGTAGCATACTTTTTCATGGCTAAATAAAAATGAAAATCTATTAATGAAAAGAATAAATCTCGTCCAACCGGATCTACTCCATCCTTGAAGTGAATGTGACCACTTATAATAATTTTGGACATAGACAAAGATGTGATCATAGCCATGAACGCGGTTGAAATAATGATTATTATAATTGTGATAACCATAATAATATATCTCTTCATAAGAAGTGAATAACTATGGAATAAAAAACAAGAAAAGAATAAAAATGGATCCAATCAGTATTTTAAAAATGAATGTTATATATGTGGCATGAATAGACATTGATTGCGTACCTATCGTACACCAAAGCACTTCATTGAGTCTTATTAAGCCTCGTTGAAAACGAAAAGAGTAAAATATAGAGGCCACTTTTATATATAAAAAATAGAGGTAATTGAAATTAATAACTTGTTAGCTTTTCTATTTATAAATAAGATGTTTTACATTCTCTTATAATTTATATTACATAGAGATAGTTATAAATTTATTTTACTATTTATTTGTGTTTATGAAAAATATATTTATTTATTTTATGTTAATATTATATCTAATAATATCAATTTAACGGAAAGCTTTAGAAATAACGATTATATTATTACTTGAAGAGACAAATTTTTAAGGCTTTAGAATAGCGAATATATTATTATTTGAAGAGACAACTTTTAAAGATTCTAAAAGAGCGAATATATTATTACTTAAAGTGACATAATTTAAAGGCTCAAGAAGAGTAAATATGTTATTATGTGAAACGACAAAAGTATTATAAATGATATACTATTCTCTCTAAAGTCTCATAGAAATTTGTTGAGTTTCAAAAATATTCATCTAACTTGATATCATATCAAGATAGCAAATTTGAAAAATATTGAATACTTATATATTATAATTATTATATTGGGTAGGAAATATGTATTGAAAATTTTATTATTATTATTTTTTTGTCTTTATCATAAATATTGGAATAATTGAAACAAATACTGTAGTAAATCATAAGTTTACTAATTCAAATACTTTTATCATATGGCATGACCAATTGTTTTATCCCGAGTCTTTCATGATGCAAAGGAATCTTCAAATTAGTTACTAATGGCTCTAAAAAGTCAATCCTTTGTCTTAGAAAATTGATTACAAAGGAATCTTCAAACTAGTTACTAAATTTAGCCAAAAGTGGGTTTTATACTCCAAAGAAAATGCCTAATCGTCGTAATTTTTTACTCAAGGCATGGATCGGGTGTAATCACCTACGTTTCCTAATGAAATATCTTAGAGTGCCTTTGTTTCATGGTAAGATAAAATGTAGCTATTTCTAGTATATAGAGAAATCCTTAACAAATAAGATAGGAGGGTGAAAATCAAAATACATATCTTTTGGAGCCTGGATTACACTTTTGAAAATAGTACTAAGTAGTATTCCTATCCATGTCGCGAGGCGACATCGGCGGTGAGGTGAACATAGGGAAAATGATTGGAGTCGCCACTTAGTATTATGGTTACTAGGAAACCTCGTGATTGGTTTGTTCGGAGTTTCGAGTAAGGGGTTTATTGCGTGTAGGGAAGATCAAAAATCACCCTACCCCGTCTCGCCTAAGGCAAGCTGCATTGCATATAACATTAATTCGATTTTTGATTTTTATGAAAAGTGCCCCCTAATCGAGTGATTCGGGACTTGATTCGTCAAAGACTTTGTCCTCACTCTGTAATGTATGATTAAAAACAATGAATGCCAAGATAAATATCGCGCATCGAAATAAACAAAAATAGGCAAGGATCGACAACTTAGGCAAAAATAATAAAAAATCAACAGACTTAGGCAAAAATGGGTTAAAATCAGCAATTTAGGCAAAAACAAGCAAAAATCGACAACTTAAGCAAAAATAGACAAAAATCAGCAATTTAAGCAAAAACAAGCAAAAATCGACAATTTAGGCAAAAATAGGCTAAAATCGACAACTTAGGCAAAAACAATCAAAAATCAACAACTTAGGCAAAATAGGCTAAAAGCGACAACGAAAGCAAAAATTGGCGACTTTAGGCAAAAATAAGCTAAAAGCGACATCGAAAGCAAAAATCGATAACTTTAGGCAAAAATAGGCTAAAAGCGACGAGAGAAAGAAAAAATCGATAACTTTAGGTAAAAATAGGCTAAAATGACAAAGAAAGAAAAAATTGATAGCTTTAGGCAAAAATAGGCTAAAAGTGACAACGAAAGCAAAAATCGACGACTTTAGGCAAAAATAGGCTAAAAACGATAGCGAAGGAAAAAATAGGCAATTTTGGCTAAAATAGGCTAAAAGGGACAACGAAAGCAAAAATCGACGACTTAGGCTAAAAATAGGCTAAAATGGAACCAAAAATGGAGAAAAACACAAAAATCGAAGAAATTAATTACTTTAACATGCATAATCAATTATGTTTGACAAAAGCGAGTTACATGGCAACATTTCAAACTTGCTTGGTTCGATGTGTGTTTTTTTATAAAATTATCACACAAGATGCACTCTTAAAACATGCATACACCGAATCCAAATGTCCAAACCAACGCGTCATTCATCAAATTACAAACGTAATGACATGCATCACCACAAAGCAAATAAATAACACATGAACATATCAAATTATTACATAACACAACCATTTAATTAATTACATAAAACATTTAAGCATGAATCAAATTTAATACATGTTAAAAAAAGATAAAGCGAAAAGTGAAAAAGATTATTATAAAGAAAAAAAGACGAGCTTATTTGCTTGATGATCTCGAGGTCGGATCCGACCTTTTCAACCCCGATGAAGATCAATACTTAGTCAATTGGGGAGAAAAGGTGGTTGAGAAGGTGGCTGTCGGCGGAGCATGGGAGGGCCTACTACCGATGATGGCCGCTGGCGAGGCGCACTGGCCGGCATTGGTAAGGCGAGCGGACGCTATGGGGCGTGCTTCGTCGGTGAAAGCGTTGGCACGTTGGGGAGCCGGGGCGCCGGAGAGGCAC